AGCAGATGGTATTCACCACATTTTGAAGGACGTAGTCGGGATAGAAGACACTCAGTTATTTTTTAGTAAATATTATACTTAAGTTTTGGTATGTTTTTGTAGGTCTGTTTGAACGCCACAAGCTCTTGTTCTCCTTCCAAATGACCATCAAGATCATGGAGGCTGACGGCAAACTAAACCCAGAGGAGCTGGATTTCTTCTTAAAGGGCAACATCTCTTTAGAGAAGAGTTCTCGCTCTAAGCCATTCCCCTGGATACCGGAACAAGGCTGGGAAGATATACAGAGACTGATGACTGTCACTCCTGAAGCGTTCAATTCGTTATCTGATGACATAGAAAAAAATGGCAACGAATGGAAAGAGGTACAACGTTAAATACAGAAACACAAATTGCAGAGTGTAGTTTTAGTTTTTATTATCATTTTAATGTTTCAGAGTTGGCGTGATGTCCTCTGGATGTTGCCAACGTAATAATATTTAGATTTAGATTTAGATTAAATCTTTTCTTGGGGTATTTTGGCAGACGTTCTTACGTATTGTACGTATGTGTTAGCCCATCGCTCAACCTGTGTTGGGATTCGTGTGCCGCAGTCTTCTCAGCTGCACGACAGTGGAAAGCTAGTGGGGATGGGAGTGTGAGAGATAAAATTTTTCAAGTTCGTCGTTTTTAATCCGCGTTAATCTTCTCCATCCTTAAGCATCCTTGTTCCTTTATTTGTAATTATTATCTGTTTGGGGTTTTTCTATTTTAGTAAACTATTATTTTCAGGTTTCATTCAATTTAAAGGTAACTATCAGTAATAAAAATGTATAATAATCAGTACGTGGAAGTTATTTTTCATATTTTGGTCGAGTAGGTTCAATCGTGGTTTAAATTCTTTTTTTTGTCTCCAGTGGTGTGATCACGACTCGCCGGAATCCGCCGCCTTCCCCGGCCGTTACGAGGAGAAGCTGACAGATTTCCAACGACTTCTTCTTTTGCGTTGTTTCCGTGTGGACAGAGTTTACCTGGCCATTACGAATTTCGTGACAGGAAGAATGAGCGAGAAGTACGTGACCCCGCCCGTGATTAGTTTTGAGGCGATATTCGAACAGTCCAATCCGTTCTCGCCGATCATCTTCATACTCAGTCCCGGCTCGGATCCCGCCAGTGATTTGATGAAGCTGGCTGACAGATCAGGCTTTGGTGGCAACAAGCTGAAGTTCCTTGCTATGGGACAGGGACAAGAAAAGGTAATGATTCGTCTGAAACCATCTCATGTTGCAAGAAAAAAAATCAAACAATTGTGTTAGGTGTGGAGCTCAAATTTAGGCGAACCAAGGAAATTAAAGGGCTTTTGCAATTGCAGGTGACCGTCCACTTTCAGGTTTGCCACAGGCCGGGAAATGGTCATGGAAAAAAATTCGTCAAGGTCAGGGAAAAGCCAGGGAATTGATTTTGAGTGGAGAAAAATTGACATTTTGAAGAAAATTGAAATAATTTAACACGGCTGATTCAATACCGTTGAAGGCTATAGGAAACATTTGGGGTCACTGTGATATCAACGACATTTTTAGCTAATGAAGAAGGAGAATTTGTTGAAGTCTTAATGAACGAGTGGAAAGGACGGCTGTAGGTTCACGCTAGAAGCCGCTACTAGATCTGGCATTATTTTGTATCTATTTGGTCAACGAAATTTTACTTTTATCAGGGAAGTCAGGGAATTTTGAAGTGATGTCTGTGGCAACCATGACTATATAGTGTACAGTTTTGAGTATAGAGCTCTATCTGCTACATTCATACTTTTTAACTTCTTTGTGAGATAGTTTTCTCTGTGCTTGGCAAACGGTTGAGTTAAGTTTAATATTAACAGAAATGCTCATTATATTTAAGTTAATAACGGCAACCTAAATTCAAATGGAAGAAGGAAAGTTCTGTTAGCACGTGCGATAGTTGGCTCTCATATGGGTGCGACTATGCCTGTGACTTGCAACACACCAACAGAAAGATGCGGCGAAATTGTAATTGCTTGTCAAACGTTTTAGGGAGTGGTACCTAACGGTGTGGTCATCTTGCCCAACCTAGTAATTAAAGAACTTTCTGTATAGATTTGTTGCTAGCCCGAAACACATGACTCTCGGGGATTAGAAAATAAGTTGTTAAGTACAGGGTAGCTCATAAACTGCAGCGTTTTGCAAATCTTAATTTGATCTTGTCCCGTATTTTTATAGTTGGCTTTACAACTGCTTGAGACGGCGATAGCTCGAGGTCAGTGGCTGATGCTTCAAAACTGTCACTTGCTGGTGAAGTGGCTGAGGGAACTTGAGAAGGTCCTGGAGAGAATCAGCAAACCACACCCTGATTTTAGGCTCTGGCTCACCACGGACCCAACTCCGGAGTTTCCTATCGGGATCCTACAGAGGTCCCTCAAGGTTAGAACTGGTAGAAAATATATGAATGCTTTAATTTAGATGTTGCAGAGTAGGTCTAAAGAACCAAGATGATCCTGTTTTTATCATTGTTTCTGTCTGACGTGTCTCACACATGTGCTTTCCAGGTTGTTACTGAGCCGCCAAACGGTCTGAAGTTGAACCTGCGCAGTACTTACCACAAGATAACCAATCAGGCGCTTGCAGATTGTCCTCACCAGTCCTTCTCACCATTAGTGTACGTCAAAAGATTTTATAGTACATTTTATTTCTTTCAGAAAACACCGCGACGAAAAAAAGAAAAAACTTTTTATTTTGTTCGTCAAAATAGAAATTCTCTTTGCTTGCGCCATTATTGCGTCAACTTCTCGTCCTAGTTCTGTGTTTCTAAGGATCTTCTAGCGTTGTATCACGAATACCGGTCTCTGATTGGCTACGCTACTCACTATCTATTCTGTTGTGGATAGTAGGTAGCGTAGCAGTGTGCGCTCATTAACAAACTCGCGGCCGCTTCCTTGCGTTTTCGAAGTGTCTGTGAAGAGGATTTAGAAAAAAAAATTGAACGACTAGTAGATTTATACTAAAACAATTAGATTATTCGCTGTCGATTTCTATAAGTGATAGTTGACTCGGGCTGCGCCCTCGTCAACTGTCGCGCCAAAGAAATCTCGAGCTCATAATCTAAGTTGTATAATAGAAACACTGGTGAAAGTTTGGGAGAACTCGAGAAAGCTGTGGAAACACGAGCCGACAACAGCATTTCTCGTTCTCTCAAACTTCCACTCGTGTTTCTGTAACTCGATAGAATCACGCTACGCGTTTTCTATTTCTTAAATAATGGTACAGGTAATGTGAGCTGATTTATGCACTGGAGACTTAATTTCCGTGAAGAGAGCGATAGCAAACAATCGCAGCAAAACTGCTGGCGTAAATCAGGATGTATTGTTCTATGTATTGATTGGTCAATCTAAACACCATAATAACATCTGAACCAAACCATCTCTGAATATGCACTTGTTTTTCAAACAGGTTTGTGCTGGGTTTCTTCCACGCTGTAGTCCAAGAAAGAAGAAAGTATGGTAAGATTGGCTGGAATATCGCTTATGACTTCAACGAGTCCGACTTCAGAGTGTGTATGACTCTACTCAATACTTACCTGACCAAATCACTGGAGAGTCCTGATAAGAAGATCCCTTGGGCCAGCTTGAAGTATCTTATCGGCGAGGTGAGTATTCTATTTGAAGGGAATCATCATTCGTAATGCATGTCAACTACTTATTAACCGAGAGTGAGGTCTTTATGGGAAAGCTGAGCGATAGCGAGGTCTACACGACAAGGCCGAAGTTTGAGATTTTCCCGTAAAGACTGAACGTTCGAGGTTAATAAGTTGTTTATTATTTGACTTTTTGCTTTGGTTTTGCAGGCCCGCAATCGGCCTGTGCGTATTACGGGAGTATAATGCCCTAGAATTAGCCAATCAGAGCGCGCGTTATATCGACTAGAAACACAGGCCACATAATAAATGAAGATAATCATACTTGAACTGCGAGTGAGAGAATTTTAGAATAACCATGTCGTCGAAATTCCGAGAGTAAGCAGTAAGTTGAGCGATTGTGCTTGGTGCATGGGAAGCCTGGAAAAAATTTTTAAAAAAAAATCAATATTCATCGAAGGTTGAAGCGATGACCTTTTCGATGCCAGTGCAAACATGGGCTTTGCCACTGAGCTTTGAAGAAGCTGGAAGTGCTAATTTTTGTCAACTGACTGAAGAGACTGTGCGTTGGATCCGAGACCGTGCTCGATTCCCTGCGGTCTTGGGAAAGCCACTTTACTTTTGCAGTGCCTTCCTCCACCCAGGTGTATAAATGGGCACCGACTGACTGTTAGGGCAGCCTGACAAAGCACTGGAGTAGAGGGTGAATCTGTGATAGACCAGCATACCAAGCAGAGAAGGAGTAGCAATAATACCTAACGTTGCTCAACTGACGAAATCCCGGGGGGTACTCCTATATATAAAGGACGAGGGTGCTCGTCGGAAATTTTGAAAAGAACCCCTAAGAGAGGTACCAAAATCCTGTTTTGTGGGCGTGGCTTGAAATTTCACACAACAGGTGCCAATTCTAAAACAACACATTTTCTCCTAAAAACTCTTTTTCCTTGGTCATCGTAGCTTTAGAATAAACAAAACACAAACCGCGGTGATAAACATGGAACCAAAACGTATGTTAAACAAAGTTAATTTCCTTGACGTTTCGTATGTACAACATACATCTTCAGAAGTGACCGTTA